TGGGAGAGCGGGATCGGTATCTATCACGGCCCCGGTCATCAGGACCACCAGGGCCTCCGTAAGGAGCGCGAGGCTTGAAAGGTGGAGGTGGGGGAGGATCGGAGACGTCCTGGATACAGGTAACTTCCTGCCCCTTGAACTCACGGCGGTCCAGCTTCTCCACTGCGGTCTTCAGATCGGCGGCCGTTTCGTACTCTACGAATCTGCGCGATGGTTTAGTACGTGTGCCTAGCTGCAGTACGTGTCCACTCACCCAGAGCCATCCCGTTCGCGGCCAACTTCGGAGTAGACGACGTCCAATCCAGACTGGCGGGCGAAATCTTTGAGGTCCTATAAGTTCGAAGTTAAGCGAGGCCCAAATCCAGAATGTATAACGGGAAGCAAGCGAGAACAAAGCCATTTCTGGTCCAGGAACGGTGCGCTGGCGCTAACAGGGAACTGAGGAAATCCAATAATCGGGGAGTCTGACCTGCCAGCTGGTCTCCACAGGAAGATTTGCTATTCTCATCCGGTATGGTGTGCGCCTAGGACGCGGGGGAACACGCTCATGGGGAGTGAAGTTCTCGTTACGGGCACGCGAGCCGCGAGCGAACTGGACGATGAGGCGCTCGCCCATGAAATCGGTACCATCTTTGAATCAGTTAGAGATGCATGTCCGGACACATACACATAAGAGTTACATACGGAATGCTGCATACGAGTTAGCACGTGTTCAGCCGATCGGCGCGTAGTTGAAGCTTACCAGGGACGACATCACGAGCATCCATTGCGTCCTTGTACTCGATGAAGCCGAATCCGTTCATGAGCTTGATCTCAGTGATCTCGCCAGTGCCGTGCGACGCGAAGTGGCCTTCGACATCGGCCTTGGTGGCATTGCGCGGGAGGTTGCCTAGGTAGAGGCGCGTGGACGATACCTCGGTCATGGTAGCGGCTGTTGCGGTAGAGCTTTATCCTAAAGATAACCTAGTCTGGAGAGAATCGTGAGCAAATATCCATGAGCAAGCGGGAAGCCATCGAGGAAGCGCGCATGGTGCCTGCCAGTGACGGGGTGACTCGGTATCAAAGACGCGACGCCAGAAAGCCAGTGTCCAGCGGCGTGCGCAACTACAGGAACCAGGAAGACGCGCAAGGAATTTCCAGTGCATGCAATACAGGCGGCTAGTCGTACCTTGGAGATAGAGTCGGGCGCTGGAAGCAGGGTGGCCGTGAAGAACCTGAGAGCTTGAGGACCAGGAAGAAGCCGGGTGAGTGCAGAAGGCGCGTCCTTGAATCTGGGGCACCGGAATTAGTAAGCCCAGTATCGCGACCACGAATTGCAAGTGCAGATGAGGGCCGAGCAGCTATCGATGTAAGAGGCCCCGGCGAGGTTGATGGGTGGACGGTGACGAAGGGTGGAGAAGGAAGTTCGCCCAACGCCTCACTCGCCCTAGCGTTCCAAGCTTCGGGCACGGACATCACGTGTGCCTTGCCTCGACCTCGGGAGCCATGTACGGGACCGCACGACCTTTCAAGGCGCCCAGTGAAATGCCACTTCTTTCAAGCAGATATTTTAATGCTGTTTGCTCATAGGATCGTGGGAACGCAGTTGAAGCCCTCCCAGGCTTCGACCGCGCGCCGAACAAGGCGACTGATCACTCGATCCCTACAAACCTCGGAAGGTCACTTGGGCAGCAACAATACTCGGGCTGACGTTGAAATCTGATATGTACACACACGGTTTGCCCTAATATACAGGTCCTCTCATTGCGTGGACGGCAGCTAAGCCATAATCTCTATCTCGGCGTCCGGATTAAGTAAGTACGTACTTTGGTCCCTCGCCACCTTGGGGTGTTTGCCAGTTGATGTCCTGGTCCGGCACTTTGATATCGCAAGTCTTGCAGTGGACGCAGCTGTATACAGTTAGCGGTCTTCTGAGTAGTCGCGATATCTAGACCTACTTTTGGGCGTTGATTTGGAACCTGACGCCCAGCTCTTTGCTGTCGTCCTCCACATACTCGTAGACGCCGGCGGGGCAGAACCGGTTTTCTACACCCTTGTACCTGGGCCATTCTTTCTGGGCATGCGCATCGTAGTCTTTGACCTGGAGATGGCAGGGCTGGTCCTCCTCGTGATTCGTGCCACTTCGGCTGACGCTCGTCAATATGTCGAAGCTGATCTTACCGTCCGGCTTGGGGTATTCTATCTTGGGGCACTCGTCCGCCGTCTTGGTCGCTGCGTGATCAGGCTTGCCATGCTTCAATGTCCACGGTGCCTTGCCTCGAAGAACGTAGGCCTCCAGACCAGAGTACATGATACCTCCGTAAATACCTAGTGGTGTGTGGAAAGACGGGCGCATGTTGCGCACAGTCTTTAGTTCCGACCAAATTGTCGACTTGCGCATCTTGTCCTCGTAGTCATATAGAAACACGGTACCGCCGTCTGCATTGGCTTGTAGGGCGTCCCAAGTCGCCTCAGCAGCTAACATACCGGACCTCATTGCATTGTGCGTGCCCTTGATCTTGGGCAGGTTGAGCAAGCCTGCGGCGTCTCCAAGCAGTGCGCCACCAGGGAAGGCCAGTTTTGGTATGGACTGGAAGCCGCCCTCAATCAGCGTTCTCGCGCCATATGATATACACTTGCCGCCTTCCAGTACGTCCTTGTAGTAAGGATGGTGCTTCATCTTCTGGAACTCGCCATAGGGAGCCAACCAGGGGTTCGGGTAGTCGAGCCCAACAACGAGACCAATGCTGACGAGGTTGTCGCCAAAGTGATACATCCAGCCACCGCCATAGGTATCCTTCGGCAGCGGGTAGCCCATCGAGTGAACCACCAGTCCAGACTTGAATTTCTCGGGCTGCACCTCCCAGACTTCCTTGATGCCAAGTCCGTAGGTCTGATGTTGGCTATCTCGCCTCAGATCGTACTTCTTGATGATTTGCTTCGACAAGCTGCCATGGCAACCCTCACCAAGCAATGTGACGCGTGCATGGAACTCCATTCCTCGCTCGAATGAGTCTTTGGCCTTGCCTTCACGCGATATGCCGAGGTCGTTGGTAGCTACGCCTTGTACGACACCCTCGTGGTTGTACAGTACCTCCGACGCAGCGAACCCGGGGTAAACCTCGACACCAACTTCCTCTGCGCGCTCGCCCAGCCACTTGACCATTTGGTTCAAGCTTATTATGTAGTTGCCGTGGTTGTTCATCTGCGGAGGCTTGGGTAGAGGGATGGCGCTGTTCTTTGTCATGAAAAACATGTGGTCTTCTTTGGCGGGGGTGATGTCGGCGAAGCGGTTCAGGTTGTCCTCTGACCTCCAGTCAGGCAGGAGCTCGTCGAGGGCAGAGGGTTCTATGACGTTCCCAGACACGATGTGATCGCCCAGCTCGCCTGCCTTCTCCAACACCAGAACCCTGAAGTCTTCATTGCCGGCCGCTGTCGCAAGCTGCTTCAGCTTGATGGCGGCGGACAGACCTGCGGGTCCACCACCCACGATGAGAACATCGACCTCGTCCGATTCGCGCTCTATCGACTTGGGATCGAATGTGTCGTCTACGGCGGCGAGTCGTGTGCGTGGCGTCGTGGAAAGAGCTCTTCTTTGACCGGCAATCCGTACTGCGGGACGGTACAGGCTGGAAACGTTTCGTCGCGGTAGTGATGCACATGCAAGTGGTCTTGATGCTATGCGCGCGGATCGCGAGGCTGCGAGCAACTGTCGCGTCGCGGAAGCGGGGACTGATCTGGTGGCCATGATGCAGGACGTGTTGGAGAGGCAAACAGATGTATTGTATGCGAAAGTAAGCAAGTTGACGAAATTTTTGCGCTTCCTACGAGTCCGACCGGCGGCGCACTACAGACTAGAAGCGACAGTGCTCAATACTGCGGAATGCGACAGAATTGCAGCATTGGACATGTACGCTCTTAGCCAACGCCAAAACCTCGACATGACGATATCCAAAAGTCGCAGCCGAGGCTACAAGGCTAAGTGCGGGATTGCAATGCCGAGCACCCCATTGGCTCAGCCCACCTTCATTCCTTCTCTCCGCACATGTCAAAGTCACCACATCCGAACATCCTCTCTGTGCAATCACTCTCATGTCAACATCTTCACGCGCAGTAGTGCGCGTGCTCGGTCTCTCTGACAAATGTCTCGAGATGACGCCGTGGTGAGGGTACAGCAACATCAGGGTACTCGCGCAGAGCAAAGTACTGTCATGCCTACCAAGAAGGCTGAGCCAGCAAACTGCGAAGACAATTTGGAATCATCACAGAAGTTTGGGCAGCAGCCTCCTGCAGTTTCTCATATTCAAGCAGTCGCTTAGCTTTTCCTCCGAGCGCGTCGGCGTGCCTGAAACCGGGAGAGAGTCAGGCCCTTGTATGCCTGCAAACCTCAGTCGTACACTAAACTTATGCGTTTAGGAAGGCATCTCTCCGCATAGATCGCCCCTGCCCCGTCTGCAACATGTTCTCAAACTACACACGTTCGACCCCCATCCTGGATCTTCGCCATGACGACGACTCTACCGGCATGGAGCTTGCGTCACCTCTTTCTTCCGTAATCGTACGCTCTGCTTCATGCGTTTGATTCGACCGTTTCCAGCCAAGCCAGGGACCCGATCCCATGTCACACTCGATCTCCCGCTGTCATGCGAGACAAGGCTTTCGTGCCTGTGAGAGAATTGTGGGGAGGACCGACGGTCTTCACTTGAGCCTGGCCTTTTCAAGGCATCCTCCAACGGCGCATGTATGACATGCACGGCAAGCAGCAAATGATCGTCCCAACAATCGCGGCCTTGTCTATTTTGGACAGAGTCTCAGTCAAGCATTCGTGGAGCTCAAATAAGAAAACACTCTTATATAAACCAGTCTCCTCAGGCGGATATCACGGCACGCTCAGCTTCAATCTTCAAACCATTCCTTCGTGCAGAGCACTATCTGTTTATTTCTATTCTCAAGAGCTGTGCTCATTTTAAGTTTCGACACACCTCGTTTCAATCCTTCAAGATCAACCCCATACCATCACAATGAAGACTTCCATCTCCCTTCTCACTCTCCTCTCAGCCTCCTTCGTGGCAGCAGCTCCAGCGCCTTTCGTGGGCCAGGGACCTGTAGTCGCCGCTGGCACCGAGAATGTAGTCATGCCCTCTACAAACTTCGGTCGCCGCGAGGAAGACGTTGTGCAGAAGTTTGGCGAGAAAGCCCTCAAGCTCCGCGGTGCGCTCTTGGCAGCACGCGGTGGCATGGGCAAAGATAATGCTAATGCCGACGCCGAAGGTGCCAATGCTGAGGATACTGCGGCGGCTGGCAACAATGGCGCTCAGGACCAGGCTGCACAGGATGCTGCCGATGCTGAGGAGGCCGCTCAGGGCAATGGCAAGGGCAAGGGCAAGAATGCCGATAAGCAAGCCGCTCAAGCAGGTACGTCTTGTCACAATCCTTTCCAAAGACTTCACTGACCCTCGATAGCCAAAGAGCAACAAGCTGCTGCCGATGCTCAGGCACAGCAGGATGCTGCCGCCGCCGAGATGATGAACCAGGGCCAGGCGCAGAACGCAACCGAGCAGATGGGAGCAGCAGACCAAGCTGCCGCCGATCAACAGGCTCAACAGGATGCTGCTGCGGGCATGAACCAAGACCAAGCAGAGAATGCGAACGACCAGCAGGCAGCGGACCAAGCGGCTGCTGACCAGCAGGCAGAGCAGGGCGCCGCCAACGGTATGGACCAAGCCGCGGCCGACCAACAGGTATGTTTCAACACCCAGATCTCATATCAGAATGACTTATTGACTCTACCAGGCTGCTCAGGATGCCAAGCAGAACCAGGGTGCTATGGATCAAGCCGCAGCTGGCCAGCAAGAGGCTGCCATGGGAGCTGATCAGGCTGCCGCGGAGCAAGGCAACGGAAAGCAGCAACAGCAACAGGATGCCATGGACCAAGCCGCAGCCGACCAGCAAGCCGCTCAACAGCAGGAGGGTGCTATGGGAGCCGACCAGCAGGCCGCCCAACAGGAGGGCGCCATGGACCAAGCCGCAGCCGATGAGCAAGCCGCACAGCAGCAAGATGGCGCCATGGGAGCCGCCGAGCAGGATAAGGCACAGCAGCAACAGCAGGAGCTCGAGCAGGCCGCCGCCGAGCAGATGGCCGCTCAGCAGCAAGCCGACCAGCAGCAGAAGGAGAAGGACCAGGCCCAGATGGCAGCAGACCAGGCTCAGATGCAACAAGATGCCGCCAACGGCGCCAACGGAATGGACCAAGCTGCCGCTGATCAAGCTGCCGCTGACCAAGCCGCTCAAGCTGGAAGTAAGTGACATCCTCTCCATAAACCTTTCATCTACTAACAATCTCAGACGCTACTGGAGTCGTTGACGCTGGAGCCGCCGCCGGAGCCGCCGCCAATGGTACCGAGGCGAACAACGACAACGGCAAGGGCAAGGGCAATGGCAAGAACAACGGCAAGGGCAAAGGAAAGGGAGAGGGCAAGGCCAACGGCAAGAACAACGGCAACAATGGCGTTGGACAGCTCCTCCAGGAAGCCGAAGCCGCTCTCCAGGCTGGTGGACAGCAGGGTCAACAGCAGGGTGGAGCCGGCGGTATCGAGGGCCTCCTCAGCAGCCTCCTTGGTGGCGGTGCTGGAGGTGCCGGCGCTGGAGCCGCTGCCGGAGCTGGTGCTGGAGCCGGCCAACAGAAGGCTGGTGGCATCGCAGGCCTCGACTTGAGCAGCCTCGGCATCGGACGCCGCTCGAAGAGGACCACCTTCCGCGCTTAGATATGAGAGACGACTGGGAGCTCATCGTTGAACGATGGAGTTCCACAACCCATGTAACCTTATGATTGTCACTGCTTCTAGATGAAGTATACAGCTATTAGATGACTAGTAATGCCAATCCAAAATCATCATCGAATTCCCCATGTACTCCTCGTCTGCCCCTATGAGTCACTCACATATACTCGTCTCCCTTCATCCAGCCCAGCTGCTTCCACATATGCAGCTTATCCCATTCTTTGATCCAGCCTTTGATCTTGCCATCTTCCACCTCGAAGATAGCTGCTGCATGCCACGCTGCCTTGTTCCCACTCGCCTTGATACCATTGTGTGCCTCGCCGCAGTGACTTCCACTAGCACTATATCTTAGGCACACATGGCCACCCTTTGCGAAGATGACATCGTAAGAGTCGATGTGTAGATCGGATACCGCGGCCATGACTTTGGAATGCGACTCGGCGTATTCTTGGGGCGAGTTGACGCCGGGAAAGGTGGTTGGGGCGACGAAGTAGGCGTTCTCATGGCAGAGATGGGCAACGGTTTCGGCACCTTTGTTCTCCTTGGGTGAGTAGGCGAGGCGCATGTATTCTTTTACTGTGTCGACATTCTTCTGTTGGGAGGTGTCAATGACATGTTCATACGTAGAGGTAGCTTTGACGAAGACCTACCTGCTCCTCCTCGGTTTGAGGTGTGCTCTGCTTGACGGGCGGGTACTTTGTGTCTGACATTGTGATGTTTCCCGGCTTACTGTGTGACGATGGTGACGCGGAGGGGTTATGGAGTAGCTGTTATACGATATATGCTTGATGACGGCACGGCTTCACGATGATGTCATTCATACAAGGCCTGAGATGATCACCGGAACATGATGGTACAAAGGCTGGATAGAAGGACAGTTTGACGGGGCCTGAGGTGGTGTATAATGCTAGTGGTGAAATACAAGTAGTATTCTGTTATGTGCTCAATATGACAAGCGACGCTTGGTACAGCTGCGGTGCTATGGTATGCGCTAGATATGCTCGAAACCAACCCAGAGTAGTAGCCCACCTGAATGCCGATGAATGAAGCCTTGATCACTGATGTATACGAGCCTACGCGAACACGCCTGTCCTTGTTCTCATACGCGTTCGACGCGTTGTCGCGTGGTCATGTGAGGCCCAAGAGAGTACCTGCATGACGCTACTTGGTATGCGCGTGGTGCGATACGAAGGGATCTGAGCCGATGCTGTGTCTTTCCTGGAAGAACTATAGAAGGCATGTATCATCGTCGAAGCTTCGTCGGTCGGGCTTTGTATGCCTGTCTACAATATCAGCGCCTGTTCATCTACCTGTGAAGGGCTGGCGTACACCGACGAAGCATCACGAGCCCTGGGCAAGAGCCAGGTCGAGTGCATCCATGCAGTCGACAGACATGCGTCCTATAATGGATCAATCGTAGTCCGGACGGCGTCTCAGCCGGTCATACTCTGGTCTCCGTCTGCATCCTCTGCCTGCGCGACTGGCCGACCGAGCTCCGCCAAGGAAGCCTTCAGCCGCGCAATACGCGCCTCGAGATACTCGATCTCATCTTCCTGGTCCTCGCACGTGCGGTCCATGTCAGGCAAGGCCGTTACTGCGCGTCGTGCCTTCTGTATCTTGAGACGGATGTCGTTGGCGGCGGTCGCAACATGTTGGATCTCAAGAGGCCCTTCGGCAGCAAGCTGTGCGGGTGTGGGTGTTGCCGCGGGTGGCTGAGCAGACACCTCGAGTATGCGCTTGAGAAGCTTGTGGAGGTCGGGCAGGATGTCAAACGTCGAGGGCGGAGGGAGGGCCGGGGTGCTCGCGGTCGGGGGTGGGGGCAGCGCGGGTGTCGCAGAGCCCGTGGGTGCAACTGAGGCTCGCGCTGAGGCAGGCGCATATGGCGTTGCGGCTCCGGACATGGTCGCGACGTCTTGCGAGTCGGCGCGCAACAATGTCTAGCGTGGTGTTGCAGCTGTGGTCGCGACGACGCGTGGACGGGATGACGCTCCTTCCACGGGTAAGGCTGGCTGCAAGGGTGGTGATTGGATGGCTACTCCGTGGGCGATAATCGCTTTGGCTGTCTGATACGCGTTTCCAGATGTCAAAGCGATCGCCAAATAGCGCGCTGCTGGTGTCACTCGAGATAAGTTCTGGCCGTGGGTTGTGGGGGGAATGTGGGCCTTTTCGCGGAAAGACTGTGACGTTGACCGGCGATGCTTTTTTGAAGTCGACTGTTTTAGCCCCGCCAACCCTGCCCCTCCGTCAACAAGCCATTCACTGCTCCTTCCTCACCAACCTCTAAACCTCGTTACCTTGATAACTTCTTGGGCTCCATTGTTCCTTCTCCCTGGATTGATCTCATCAGCCCGCAATCATGGCCAAAGTCGACCAGAAGACGGTCCTCATTGTCATCGACGGCTGGGGCGTCGCGACTGAGAACTCGCGCAAAGATGGCGATGCTATCCTTGCTGCCGACACGCCCACCATGGACGAATTCGCAAAGGAGGGCTCCAAGACTGCCCAGGGTTACACTGAACTCGAGGCCTCCTCTCTCGCAGTCGGCCTGCCCGAAGGCCTGATGGGCAACAGCGAAGTCGGCCACCTGAACATCGGCGCCGGACGCGTTGTATGGCAGGACTCCGTCCGCATCGGACAGACCATTAAGAATGGAAAGTTGAAGGATGTAGACAACATCAAGAAATCGTTCCAGCGCGCCATCGACGGTAACGGACGGCTCCACTTCTGCGGTCTGGTTTCCGATGGTGGTGTCCACTCGCACATGGACCACCTCATTGCGCTCCTCAAGGTTGCAAAGGACCAGGGTGTCAAGGAGGCCTACATTCACTTCTTCGGTGACGGCCGAGATACCGACCCCAAGTCCGCGGTCGGATACATGGAGACTCTGCTGAAGGCGACCAAGGAGATTGGCCTGGGCGACATCGCGACAGTGGTCGGACGGTACTACATCATGGACCGCGACAAGAGGTGGGACCGTGTCGAGCTTGGTATGAAGGGTTTGGTCACTGGAGAGGGCGAGGAGAGCAGCGACCCCGTCGCAACCATCAAGGAGCGATACGCAAAAGACGAGAACGACGAGTTCCTGAAGCCCATCATTGTTGGAGGAAAGGAGCGAAGAATTCAAGGTATAACACTACGCTGAGCACCTGCATGTCTGCTTGCTGATTCGTCCAGATAACGACACCGTCTTCTTCTTCAACTACCGTTCCGACCGTGTTCGAGAAATCACTCAGCTGTTGGGTGATGTCGACCGCTCGCCCAAGCCCGACTTCCCGTACCCGCAGAACATCCACCTCACCACCATGACCTCGTACAACCCCAAATACACTTTCAACGTTGCTTTTGAGCCTCAGAGGATGACGGATGTTCTTGCTGAGACACTAGGAAAGCAGGGCGTCAAGCAGTGTCACGTTGCGGAGACCGAGAAGTATGCTCACGTAACCTTCTTCTTCAACGGTGGTGTCGAGAAGCAGTTCGAGAACGAGGAACGCGAGATGGTTCCCTCGCCCAGGGTAGCCACGTACGACCTAGAGCCGAAGATGAGTGCCATGGCTGTTGCAGAGAAGCTGTGCGAGCGCATCCAAACAGGCAAATTCGAGTTCCTCATGAACAACTTCGCGCCACCAGACATGGTAGGCCACACAGGTGTTTACAAGGCAGCCATCGAGGCCTGCACAGAGACCGACAAGGCTATCAAGAAGGTGTACGATCAGTGCAAGAAGAGCGGATACGTTATGTTTGTCACTGCCGATCACGGGTAAGTCCGCATCGCTGCACCTTCCGAGACAGTGCTAACAGGTTACAAGTAACGCGGAAGAGATGCTTACAGAGGAGGGCACACCCAAGACATCCCACACAACTAACAAGGTGCCTTTCGTCATGGCCAACGCCCCAGAAGGCTGGAGCCTGAAGAAGACTGACGGCGTACTCGGTGACGTCGCGCCTACCCTACTTGCGACCATGGGTCTTCAGCAGCCTGAAGATATGGACGGTCACAGCTTGCTTGTCAAGTCATAGAGTGTCATTTGTAATAAAGATGTGAGACGAAGGTTTGAGATGCCTTGTCCCGAGATTCTGCCTCGTTAGATTCATACACATATAGACGACACGAGCTATGATGTATAGAACCATGCATAGAACAATTTCAATAAGCAGCGACACGTATAGCCATTGCTTTTCAGAGACCCTTTTTCCAGCTGTGGATTTATGGATGTTGCGATCAATGCTAGGATGATTGATCCCGGCTGAGCGGCTATGCGCTTGGCAACAGGGGTAAAGTCACCGGCGGGGAATCGTGTGGACCCCTCCTTACGTACTCCAGGGCGCGATAGCCTTCTTTTCGACACTCCCATGGCTTTGTAGCTGAATCCTCTATATTTACACCGTTCGCGACACAGTTCATTGTACCGTTCAACAGGCAGACTGGCCCCAATCTTGATCATCGCCAACACTATCCCGTCGCGTGCCATCAAGCAGCTCTACGCACGACCACCAACGTCGATCATAAGCCCATCGACTACCCTCAACTCGCTATTAACTTTCGCTATCACTACGCGATATCTACGCTGTGACACATGTTGTCATAAAGTCACATCGCGCTTCCCCGACAACCTCACCTGTCGGTTCCATTGTTTTCGAAACCCAACCTGAGGCATCGGTGCCCGACCACGCCCTCCCCAGGCCCTCGTAATCGCGACACGCGCACGGCACGCCTACTGCAAACACTCCCCATCACGTCAGCTCTCTGAAAAGCGACTCGAGCTCAACAATGGCAACTAGAACTTCCAACGGTGCGTCTGGAGCGCAGGGCGCGCAGACTGCGGCGCAAGTGCAGCCTTGCAGATACAAGACCGGCAAGACATTGGGCGCAGGCAGCTACTCTGTAGTCAAGGAGTGCGTGCATATCGACACGGGAAGATACTATGCGGCCAAGGTCATCAACAAGCGGCTCATGGCAGGCCGAGAGCACATGGTCAGCTCAGCCT